ATGGGGGCCAGGGATTTAGCTCAGTGGTTCTGCCGCCTGCTGCGCAAGCGCAAGGAACCAAGTTCGATCCCCAGTACCAAAAAAAAAAAAAAAAAGGGTGGGTCGGTGTGTGGGGGGTAGGGCAGGAGGCTTGTGGAATCCAGGCCAGTGTGGCCGCTTTTCTACAGGACTGAACTCCACCTCCCATCGCCCACCCCTTGCAGGCCCTACGGCAATTGTTAGGGACCAGAAAAAAGACTACCTAAGCCCAGGATCATTTGCCACTGGGGTCATCTTTCCCAGAGGTCCCAATTGGGTTAAATGGCCCTGGTTCATCTCATGAGTTAAGGGTTTTGCTCCAGTTTACTGAAGGAAGTTCATTGCCTACTCAGACCTCCACTGGATTCCTGGCTCAGGTTGGGATCCTGGCCCAGCCCCCACCACTGGAGCTGACTCCCTCCCCACTGTCTTCCAGATTATTCTCAACTCCATGCACAGATACCAGCCCCGCTTCCACGTTGTCTATGTGGATCCACGAAAAGACAGCGAGAAGTATGCAGAGGAGAACTTCAAAACCTTTGTGTTCGAGGAGACGCGCTTCACCGCGGTTACTGCTTATCAGAACCACCGGGTGAGGGCCTGTAGGGGAGGTCCTGGGGACCAGTTGATTCGGTCCTTCTGGGAATGCAGTGAATCTGTTCTGTGTGCCCCTGGGTGGCACAGACAGTTCAGGGCTGCAGGCTCTGGGTATCCCAGTGGAGCACAGTATAATTGGGGACCCCTCCCCCCACCCTCCAACCCCCACCTCAGGCTGCCCACTCCCTCCCACCAGGCTGGTCCAGCCTCCTATCAGCTTGACCTCTGTAGCGGTAACTGTCACTGCTGCTTGAAAGTTTGTTTTCCAAACCATTCCGGAAACTCCCCATCTGGGGCTTGATCCAAGGTTTACCCAGATTCCTAGGGCGCTCACTCAGTTCTCCATCTGTGCCCCCGTGGTGGTGGCGGCGGAGGTGACCACATTTCCATCTCAACTTGAGGCACAAGTCCTTATCGCCATTTATTTGGGGTAGCAGAGAGTTCCCTAGTGAGAGAGGAGGCACCATATGGGAAGAGGGCAGAGGTGGGCCAGTTCTTGTCTCAGTCGAGCCTCTCCTAACACTCCCCCATTCTCTGCCGAGACCAAGTGGCCGAGAGCTGCAGGACTCCAACCGCTAGCTCATACCTGCTTCCCTACAGATCACGCAGCTAAAGATTGCCAGCAACCCTTTCGCCAAAGGCTTCCGGGACTGCGACCCTGAGGACTGGTGAGTGTCCTCCAAAGAGTCAGCGAGTGCCTGTTGCCTGGCTGGGGAGCCACCCTGACCTGCTCCCCTCTCGCAGGCCGCGGAACCACCGGCCTGGAGCGCTGCCGCTCATGAGCGCCTTTGCGCGCTCCAGGAACCCCGTGGCCTCCCCCACGCAGCCCAACGGCGCAGAGAAAGGTAGGGCCAGGGTCGTAGGCTCCAGGCCTCGACCCCACGCGTGCTCCGCCCCAGTTTGGCGACCGCGCCCGGCCTCGCCCGCCCCCCCGGGGCGCTCACGGCCTTCGCGCCGGTTGCACAACGGCCGTGGCGGCGGGCAAGCGCACACTCGCCCGCCCGATGGCTTCGGCCCGCCTGCGCGCCCCGCCCGCTGTTGCCGGCCGCTGAGGAGCGCGGGCCCCTGGGGAGGGCGCCGGCGGCGTTGGGGCTGGGTCAGGTTAGCGGAGTAGGGACGCCCCTACCCTACCCCGAGCGCTTCTTCGCCCCCGGGGGCTTCTGTGAGTCTCCTAGGCGGTCCGGGGGCACTCACTGCTCGGCTCCTCTCGCAGACGCGGCCGAGGCCCGGAGAGAATTCGATCGCGAAGGGGGCGGGTCAGCCATGCTCGGGGACCCTGCACATCCGCCGCAGCTGCTGGCTCGGGTGCTGAGCCCCGCGGTGCCTGGGGCCGGCGGTGCGGGCGGCCTCGTTCCCCTTCCCGGTGCGCCCGGAGGCCGGCCCAGCCCCCCTCACCCGGAGCTGCGCCTGGAGGCGCCCGGCGCGTCGGAGCCGCTGCATCACCATCCCTACAAATACCCGGCCACCGCCTACGACCACTACCTCGGGGCCAAGAGCCGGCCGGCGCCCTACCCGCTGCCCGGCCTCCGCGGCCACGGTTACCACCCGCACGCGCACGCACATCCGCACCACCACCACCCAGCCGTGAGCCCGGCCGCCGCCGCCGCCGCAGCCGCCGCGGCTGCCGCCGCCGCCGCGGCTGCCAACATGTACTCGTCTGCTGGGGCCGCGCCGCCGGGCTCCTACGACTACTGCCCCAGATAATGCGGGCCGCGCGCTCCGCGCAGCCCCGAGGGCCTTCAGAAGACTCGTTCATCAGCCCTGGGGGGCCACTGCGGGCCTCCCTTCCCCCTGGCCTCAAAGCCATTGGGGGCCTCCAGTCCCAGGACTATCGCGGTGTCGGATTCCTCCAGCTCCCAGGAGAACGCTGGACCTTCCTCAGCTCCGAGGGCCACGAGGGCTCCGCCCGCCAGTGCCAAAGCGCCCGGTCTGGGGCGGAAGGAAATGGTATTTATTGTTCTCCCAGAGACCGAGTAGCCTTGCCTCCGCCCGCCCGGCCGGCAGTTGCAGTGTAGACGACCTGAGAGCCCCGCCTGCAGGCGGTGTAGATACATGTAGATATATGTAGATACTGTAGATACCGCGTCTGCGCCGACTTGATAAACGGTTTCGCCTCTTTAAGAAGCTGCTTGTGTGTCCATTTATTTGCACCCCACTTAGATGGTGCGGGGAAGAGCTGAGTTAGATGTGACTTGTGGACTCCCAGCTCCAGTTCCTACAGGCCTCGGATCACATCCTCTCTTCCAGGGTTTCGGAGTGGAGCCGTCCCCGTTGTCTGTCTGGGAAGGCCTGTCCTTTCTTGAAGTACTCTCGGTGGGCCTTCTTCATACCCCCCCCCCCCCCAGATCTGGGAGGACCCACACCAGGTGTGAGCTTTTTTTATTTAAATCCTTCACTCCTGCAATTGTCCCTGCTTTAGGACCTGGGATCCCTCCCTGCCGTTTTTCAGGGCTCATCCTACATGTTTTTCCAAAGAAACTTGGAATAATGGTTGTAACTGTTCACTGTTCCTCAACCCTGGGAAGAGGGGAAAGCCCTTGACCCGGATGGGATTGTGGAGAGACAAAAACAGGCAGTTCTGCTCTTGTAGCATTTCCCTGGCCTGTCCTCAACCCAGGCCTGCATTTTCCCCTGTTTGTTGACTTTATTCGCCCCCACAGATGACCTGGACAGGGGGCCACAATGACAGTGGTCATGAGTCATCTCGAAACCCGTCTGTGAAGCATTTTTCCCAGGCCAGGTGGCTGAGGGACCTCTCCCCACTAACTCAACACCAGGGATGGGGCCAGAGGAACCCTTTGATGCCTCCCTTCCTGAGTCCAAGCAGGAAAAGCTGACAGCCGGTCAACGTCAAGGCTAGCTTGGACACAAGATGAACGGGAAATGTGCATGGCCAGGTTCTATCCCTGGCCTGTGCCTGTCTCGGTGTGTTTGTGGCAATTGGCTGCCTGATTCCTCCCTCTTATGTGGCAGTGGCATTCCGGGTATCACTTCTCCGTGGACACACCCAGGCATTTCCAAATGTTACCCCACACCAGACCTCTTCTTGGCTGTGTTTTCCCTGGTACGACAAGTGATAAAATAGTAATTGGAAGGCAAGAACTGTTCCCATGAAGCCAGTCTAAAAAGGGAGGGAGGCCAGGTCCCCTCAAAGCCTCCAAGGGCATCTAGCAGCAGGGCATGACGATGTCTGCAGTGGCTGCTGAAGTGGCCAGCAGGGCTCAAGGACACAGCTTCAGGGAAGCACTGTAGATGACTCTTTGCAAGTTCTGCTCCCCACTATGCTCCTAACTGCAGATCTCCTTCTGGGTTACCTGTGTGTGATGGTGGCTTTTGCTTGGGGCGGCCCATTACCCATTTGCACTATAATCCCCCATCTCATCTGTGGGAAGCCAGGAACACCACTTGTAGGCACGAGTGGCAGGCTGGGGTTTGCCCTGCAGAGGGCGCTGGCTACGGCTCAGCCCTGTCCTCAATGGAATGCAGCCCCTCCACACAGCAACACTGTGTCCTCAGGGACACCTTGAAGACCTGTCAGACCTTAGCTTTGGTTTTCAAAGCTAAAGTGAAGAGAAGCTATCCCTGAATGAATAACAGTGCCAGTGTTTGTAAACAGGTGGAACATACCATAAAGTACAGGGACCCTGGATAGGCAACTTGCTGGCCATGTAGAGATAGATGTCCCTGCTGCCACTGTGACAGCCAGTCCCGATGGAGAGTCACTCTGCTGTCCAACTGGCCTGCCACTAACCACATGAGGCTGCATACATTTTAATGATTTAGAATAAACATTCAAGATGCCAGGTATGCTGGCACATGCCTATAATCCTAGCTACTCAAAAGGCTGAGACAGGAGTTTCACTAATTCAAGGCTAGCCTGGTCAGTTTAGCAAGACCTTGTCTCAAAATTTAAAAGAATAAAGGACTGAAGGTAGATAGCTCAGCAGTATTAGCTTCCCTACCATGCAGGAGGCCCTGGGTTCAATCCACAGCACTTCCCCCAAAAATGAAAATTCAGGTCTTGGACTCTGCTCCAAGTGTGCATTGGCTCAGATATTAAAAGTCACTATATTGGCCCTGAAGTTGAGGGCACACTCTGCCCTGGATAACAACCCTCAACCCTGTGGATGAGTTTGTCTGCAAATTCTTGTAAATAGCAGTATGTGCTCCTTGGTGTATGTGTGTGGCGCTCACCGTCTCCTCTGCATTCATCCTTTATCCAGTGCTCGGTGAGTACCCACAGGCACTGTGGCTGCTGCCCTGTGGAGCTGACATCCTCAGGGCAGCTGCCTCTGGACAGCCTTGACTGCCCTGTGAGATGGCTTTCAGCAGTTTCCGTTATTTGATTGCTGATCTGAATATTTATGTTCCCCCCAAATTCAGAGGCTGCAATCATCACCTCCTGAACTGTGTGAGAGAAATTTCCATTGTTTATAAGCCACCTGGCTGGTGGTAATCTGTTATAGCAGTCTGAATGGACTGAGAGAGATGGTCTTTCCCCTCTTTGAACAGGCCTGCCCTGCCCTCTGTAAGCTGCTATAATATGAGAGACTGGGGGATCTTTTCTCACTAGGTGTCTTCTCACTCACGACCATCCCAGCTGTTGGACTCCTTAGAATCTTCCTCAGGGGTTCCTAAGTTGGTCTAGGGGCTACATTCGTGTGCCCTCCCCTGTGCCCTGGGCACCTGGATGGGTAGGATGAAATTTGGGCCAGAAGGTACCTCAAAGAGTCCAGACTCATTCATTCTTCAAAACCCCGCAGAAAAAAAGAGTCACCCAACTCGAGAAATAGATAAACTCTTGACTGAGAGAGAATGAGACCAGGCCAAGAGCCACATGCAGCCTGCCAGAGACCTCCACTACCATCTGCTCAACAGTGGCACCTTTGTCTAAGGGAGGATGGGAACACTGCTCTATCTTCAAGGGCTGGTTACTGATTGTCCCCCAGGTAAGCATTTGGGGTGCAGAGAGCTAGGAGCACTCTGGGATTCAGCTGCAGGACAAAGGAAGTCTGCTTGGGGGCGCCTCAAGCTCCAGAGAAAGAGGAGACCCTGGCCCTGAGAGCACCTTTCAGCTGGGGAGGTCTGGGTAGTGTGTGGGATCCCTATGCTGACAGCTGCGTGAGGAAGAGATACCGAGCTCCAGGTGTGCTGCAGATCAAAGCAGCCCTCTTGCCTGAGCCCATAGCTGCTGAGGGCTGGGCAGACAGAGTGAGCAGGGTTTGACCAACAATGGCTGGTGGTGATGGACAAAGGACATGTAGGATGAAGGGGTAATGCAGATGGTGACAGTGCAGCTTACCTGGAGTAGCCTTGGTTCTAGAGGCTGTATGCCTCAGTTTCCCCTTCATGCTGTGATTCTGACAGGAAGTTGGCTATAAACAGTGGAGAGTTATGTGAGCCTCTGGAAGGAACACTGGGGAATTGGTGTTTTACGTTTCCTCTCCACCTCCATGAGCTGGGTTTATCCAAAGCATCTGCACCATTCTGCCCCTCCTCCTTCACTCCTCTTTCCACCTCTGCATCTTGCCATGGGCCCAGCCACAGAGCAGGTGGGGACATGGCCCCAGGGGCTGCTGTGGTGGCACCCAGCCCTGGTGAGGATGGATGGGACCTTTCTCCTGGTGCTACCTCACACATTTTCTGTGTTTTAAAAAACACAAATCATGCCCTTGATTCAGTTCCCTTTCCTGCTTGTTGTATTACCTCAAACCAGATGGACTCATAAGATGAAGTCTGGAGACTCAGTGTCTCTGTAACAGCTGCCAGGTCTGCATGTGGGAAGCAGCAGAACCAAAGGTATTCTGGCTAAAAGCAGCCCACATGGGGGGTGCATTAGGCTTTAATAGCAGTAATTAAATTATCTTCTTAATTATAAGGGGGAGATGGCATTGCTGACATCCTTTATCGGCTTTCAATTGCATAAGTAAAACCCTTAATCCCCTCCCGGCAGCCCTCATCCCCTTTCTTTGCCCTGGGCCAGCCTAGGACCTGCTCCTGCTGCTCCCGACCTCATGAGGGTGCAGATGGTTGGGGTGCATCACCCTGTTTCTCAGATGCACAGGTTTTTAAATTTTATTTTGATATGTGGTGCCGGGGCTCACACCCCAGGCCTTGTGTGTGCTAGGTGAGAGCTGTAGGGTTTGTTTTGTTTTGTTTTGTTTTTCGGCGGGGTACCAGAGATCGAACTCGGGTCCTTGCACTTGCGCAGCAGATGGCGAAACCACTGAGCTCAATCCTCGGCCTATTTTTTCCTTCACATTTATTTTTTCACTTTTCAATAGCTCTAAAGTTCAGACACATCTTAATCAAGTGGAGGAGATTTTAATCTAACTGGAAAGCTCTTTGTTGTACATGAATTAATGATACAATCCATTTACAGTTGATGGGTTTCAGAATTAAGGACTGTGGCCCCATTTCAGCCACATATTTGTGTGTGCTGGCCTTGGTCAGAGCAGCTCTGGGTTATGGCATCTTGCCCCAGATCTTCCAAATGTCTCAGCTTCATTGTTTTCAGCCTCCAAACTGGCCCTGCCCTGATGTGACTGCTCCCCATATTCACCCCATATTCACCATCTCCTCTCTAATCCTCCCTGCCATTTCTAGCCTCATCTAAAGCTACCTTTTATCCCCGATGGGTTTTCTAGCTTTTACCCCGGGACAGTTTCTCTTGTGATGTCATCGTACATCAGAGCTCATCAAAGCTCCCCAGCTGTAAGGGTAAAGGGCTGCAGTGTGGCTCCCTCAAAGTCTGTGCATCCCCCAAGGGTAAGGCAGGGAACTTCCCTGCTAGGCTGTCTTGGAAGCTGCTGGAGAGTACTTCTCCAGCCCTCCTTTGGGATAAGGGCAGCTTGGTAGACTTGAGGTCACAGGCCCCCTTGCATGTTGTCCCTGAGGACCGTCCCTGACCAGCCAGCTCCTGCTAGGTCTGCAGATGAGCTGAAGCTAAGGCTGGCTGGACCCTGGAAGCCGAGTGGAGTACAGTGCCTGAAAGCCAATATCATTGTTCATCTACAGATTTGGAGCTGTGTGAACCTGGCTGGCTGGTGGGCTGAAATAAAAATATAGAAACACCCACTTCCATGCAAATTATCCTTCTGATAACAACAAGTAGTCTTAAG